TTTTGAAAACGAATAGTTCACACATTTCACGCATCCAAACAGATGATCAGAGAAACGAAGTGAAGGAAGCGAAATGAAATGACACGCAGTAGAAAAGGCGAGTGAATCAACCTGATTTAACCAACCGTAACTCAATATTCATATTTAGACAATAATAAATTACAGACATATAACAAATAGGGCAAGCAATTAACACACATACAATCATATAAAAACAGCCGGGGTTATTAGGCAAATAATCCACAGGGTAAAAACGTAGCTTGAAATGGATGAATAAATTGACCTGTCCTTGACATAGTACCAGGCACTACAGGACTTATACATCATATCCCTGTACAAATCGTACATACCAGTCATGATACATGGCAGTGGAAAGTCCAACTGTGTTTATTATAAAGCATTTAACAAGTAGAAAGCTGATGTTTTGAAATAATAACTTTGTTATTCAGCAATGCAAAAGCTGGAGTCGAATTCATACGTTATTCTAAAACCCACAGGACTATTTTGAGCAATAATATTCAACACCACAAAAACATATCATTCTATGAATTCCCAACGGAATACCATACCATGTTGAGTGATAACCAAATATATTATGAAACCTTTCTGAACTCAAAAATACATAACTGTTATGACCTTGGGTGTCTGACTTTCTTATCACGCGATTTATCTACCAATCCGAATACGACTTATACGAATCTTCACACTAGGCCAACCAATGACGTTCAACCGGTGTGGGCAGTCTAGCGTCCTTATTGGTCCTATGTCCTACGAGCCCTTCCACTTGAGTCCAGAACAAAATACCAGCTTCCGAATCAGAGCAGATCAGACCAGATCGTTTATTTCAGACATACTTGGTTTATATATCAATCAGACAGACCGCAACGTACCATAAAATAGGAAATAATATTTGTACACAAATAAGCCCAAAAAGTGGCTGTGAACGAGGGGGACAGTGAATAATAGACTGAGCACAGATTAAGAACCGTAAATCGTATAATAATAAATTATAGGTCAAAATAAAGCTTATCATAAAAGGAATATAAATATACATAGCGTAATTGTTGAGTAGTTATACAATAAGAATATTTATAGAATATTAGTCCATTAGTAGTCCTTGGAATTTACCTGTGGTTTAATCTCCACTCGGATATAACAATAACATAATTAATAATCTCTGGTTTTTCACTTATATTAACGTACTGAGTTTTACACTTATCTTGTTATTCTTATTGCCCTGTTAAATTCTATCTTGTGCATCATTCCATTTCAAAAGTAAATAAGATTTACTATGCCAATAATTTCTCTGATACTGCCCAAATAAGCACGTAAAGTACTTGAAGGAATCTCACGGACCCAGGATCCTTTGAAACAAAGAATTAGAGAATCACGATGAATGTTATCCAATGTTATGCACCCATCAATGATAAAAACGACGACGAAGATCAGTTCTATGAGAGGTTACAATCAATAATAGGGATGTGCTCAGGAAAGGACCTGACTATCTTGATGAGATGGCGATAAAGTTAGAATGGACAACACTGGGTATGAAGATATCATGGAACGTTATGGACTGGGAAAAAGGAACGAGAATGGTGACGGATTCGCAAATTTATGTGTATTCGACAAAATGGTTATAGGCGGCAAAGTATTACCCCACGTACGCATACACAAAGCTATATGGGTATCACCGAATCGCGTCACGGAGAACCAGACAGATTATATTTGCCTCATTAAAAAACTCAGGAGGACAATGGAAGATGTGAGAACCAGGAAAGGAGCTAATATAGCTTTGGATCACCACATGGTTGTAGCCAAGATTAAACTGAAGCTAAAGATGCAATGGACAGTATTACAAAGGCTACATAGAGACTTCATCCAAGATACTGACAAACTAGACAAATTCAAGATAGCTCTCAACAACAGGTTAAAAGCCTCACAGGATCTACTGAAAGAAGAAACTACTATGAAAGACAACTGGAAAGGGATCAAGAAAACACTAACGTTGACAGGTCAGAAAGTGCTTGGTCGCAAGAAGTATCATCATAAGGTATGGATCTCTATAGAAACACTGGAAAAGATTCAAGAAAGGACGAAAAAGAAGACAGCAATTAACAACAGCCAAACAAGAACAGAGAAAATCAAGGCACACACTGAATACACAGAAGTAAACAAGCAAATGAAGAAGAGCAATAGAGCCGACAAGCAAAAATACGTAGGAGAGCTAGCAACAACAGCGGAAAAATCTGCCAAAGAAGGAAATATAGAACACCTATATGATACAAAGAAGATACAGGTAGGGAAATATAGTAGACTAGAGGGACCAGTCAAGGACAAAAAATGAAAGTCAGTCACTGAGATTTAAGAACAGAGGGGTAAAAAACTTTGAGGAATTCTTGAATAGACCAGCTCCATTGAATCCACAGGACATCGAAGCAGCACATACAGACCCTCCTATGGATATCACTCTACGAACGATCAAAAAGATCAGGATGGCCATCAAACAAACTAAGAGTGGGAAAACAGCAGGACCTGACAACGTGTCAGCTGAAGCCCTGGAGTCAGACATAGAAGTATTTATTTATTTGAACACATGAATGTTGGTGCAAAAGAGCAGATACAGAAGCAAACGCAAACATGCATCACACTCTATTCAGGAAGATTTAGGATAGAAAGAAGTACCAACAGATTAGAAAGAAGGATAGCTCATCACGATACCAAAGACAGGAGATTTGAGCAAATGTGAGAACTACAGAAGCGTCACACTACTATGGATATCAGAAAAAGTTCTCAACAAAGTGTTGCTTTACAAGATGAGGTCAACAGACCAGACTCCTTACGGATAGGTCGTGCACAGACCAAATATCGACGCTACGGATCGTCGAACAAACAATTGAATGGAACTTGTCAGTTTACATCAACTCCCTTGATTATGAGGCGTTCGACAGTGTGGATAGCACCTTATGGAACCTTCTTCGACACTATGGTGTACCTGAGAAAATCGTCGACATCACCCAGAATTCATACGACGGATTACACTGTGAAGTGGTGCATTGAGGACAGCTGACAAATGATTTCCAAGTGAGTACCGGAGTCAGACAAGGCTGCTCACTCTGGCTCTTTCTCTTTCTTCTGGTGATTGACCGGATTATCAAGACCTCTACATCTGAGGGGAATCACGGAATGTGATGGACAGCTCGAATGCAACTAGATAAATTGGACTTCGCAGATAACCTAGCTCATCTATTCGACACACACCAACAAATGCAGGTGGAGATAGTCAGTGTAGCAATGGTCTCTACATCAGTAGACCTCAACATACATAAGAGAAAAAGCAATATTCTCAAATACAACACAGAGATCACAAAGTCAATTACACTTGCTGGATAAGCCCTGATAGAGGTGGAAACTTCCAAGTACCTGGATAGTATCATCAATTAACAAGGAGGATCAGATGCAGATGTACATGTAAGGATTGGCAAAGTAAGGGCAGCATTCCTACAGTTGAAGGACTTATAGAACTCAAAACAACTGCCAACTAATATCAAAATCTCCAATACGAATATCAAGATAGTCCTACTGTACAGAGATGAACCTTGGAGAGATACCACAACGATCATCAAAAATGTACAAGTATTTATAAACAGATGTCTACGCAAGATACTCAATGTCCATTGACCGAATACCATCAACAACACCCTACTGTGGGAGGGAACAAAGCAGCTTCCAGATAAACAGGAAGTCAGGAAAAGACGTTGGAAGTGGATGGGGCATACAGTAGGGAAATCATTAAACTGAATCACAAGGCGAGCCCTAACGTGGAATCCTGAAGGGAAAAGGGGAAGACCGAGGAATACACTGCGTCGAGAATTGGGAGCAGACATAAGGATTGATAGCAACTGGAAAGGACTGCCCAGGACAGAGTTCGATGGAGAATGCCTGTGGGCGGCTTATGCCCTCCACGAGGGGTAACAGGTGTAAGTAATGTCAATAATTTGAACCACACACCAATAGTTCTTAGTAGCTGAAACAAGCACCTTGACTGAGATAAATGAGAACGTAGGAGCGCGGATTAATTACACTGACCAAAGTATCAATTCGTGAGAAAGAAAAGATAATACTGAAATATCTCGGGTGCTTCAAAGAGGTAATAACATCAATTTTTAAAGATATTGAATCAGGATGCAAGCAGTACTAGATATAGGATATGACAAACGGTTATCACAGTAAATTTTATATGAATCACTATATGTAATTCGGAAGAAAAAGAAAATTACCTATCATCGAAATTAAATTCCACTGATTTATGATCAAATGGAAAACAGATTTATAATCAAAATTCTAACAACTAAGTGGTTTACAAGACAACAATATATTTTGATAATAAAGGGATCGTTTACAAAAACACAATCAACAGACAAAATAAAAAGTATAGCATAATTTAATAAGTTTTATACAGGCCATACATGATGAAAACAACTATAATAATGATAATGCTTACATTTAGTTTGGTATAGATGTAACCAATGCAAAAACAACAAACTATTCAAACAAACAAAAACTGTGTCTATTTTATCCATAAGTGGGTGCAAATTTTACTTATAGGAAATTTAACTATTTTTTTAGCACAATCCTTTCAGTTTACTTTTAATAAATAAATAAAATGAACAGTGATAGAACTTTTCCAAGAAAATAACACAAAATAAAGTTTAAACTGAAATGAAAGTAGAGAAGAAAGCAAAGAAATATAGAGATTATAATTTTAATCGAAACAGAACAAAATACTGAAACATAGTTACACTGGTCTATTTGGTTGAAATAATAATAATAATGACTGATTAACAGTTGATATACACAATAAACAATCAGTTCACTGAGAATACAAAGACAAAATCATAGTTGTTTTAACAAATTTGAAAAACATACAAAACAAGATATCAACAACGATATAATAATAATAATAATAATAATAATAATAATAATAATAATAATAATAATTTGAAAATGTGAAAATAAAAAATAAATTAATAAGGAATTAATGATTAATTCATATTAACAAAATGACTGTTTTAAATAAAATTAGTTATTTCAAGAAATGCAATTCAATTAATAATTAACAGTATTTTCTTCTTTTAATTATTTACAGGTGAATGAATATACACAGTTTTTGTATGGTATGACATAGATAGATAGATTGAATTGAATAATTTGAACAAATGAAGATAAATATACTTTAGATAAATGAAATAATAACCTATTTAGCAAGTCAGTAATGTACGAAACGAAATGAATGAATGCAAAAAGAAAAAGTCACTTTATAACAGAATATAGTTACACAATATAAATTAAACAATAAGCTTCGTTTGAATACTATGATTACAATTATGTACATAACAGTTAGATGATACCTAAAAACATGATATATATATATATATATATCTGAGAAAAATTGTAAACTTTAAGCGGAGGTGGACAAGTGACTAGACAGAACTGGATAATGACGAATAAGTGTGATAAAGATTTATTAAAGGTCAAGTGTTATTGTTTAAGTTATTATTCAATGAAGTTTTGTAATGTGGATATCGTATTGTTATTTAGTGATTCCGTAATGGTTTTATTGAAATTTAAATATTCCTTTATACAATCAATGCTCTCATAGTCGATTTTATCACTATTACTATTATTCAATTGGGAAGAAGTATCGGAGGCATTAAAAATAGTAGGTGGTAAAGAAAGATGAGATTCTTTTGAAACTTGTGTAGTCACCAACTCCGATGAGTGCGAATCTGAAACTCCAACATTCTACACATAAGAATAGAGGAAAAAAATCACATGTTTATCTATGCATGAAATTGTAATTAGAATGAAAAGTACAATGAAATGATAAGTTTGCCCAAAAGGTGGTGTTGTATACGAAATTGAGAGGACGAAAAGTGAATATCCGGCGCCTTAACCGGGTTGGTGGATATGGGGGGTCCACCTAAGAGAGTTGGAAAACCCTGATTTCAAACCAATGGTGCATATGGGCTCCAGGGTGCTGAGAGAACCTATTATTGGTCACGGGTTAGCATTAGAATGCATCTCCTAAATTCGCTCCACCGCCTTGTGGATTAGATCTCTAGATCAAATGCTTGGGGTGTGGCCCACTAAAAAAAACCACCTGCTTCGGTATGGGCGCATGGGTAGTATTTCAACCCTTCCTTGTATCAATGTTTATGTGCTTAAATAAATAAATATAATAAATAAGTCTAACTAGTACATTCTATTAATATACTTACCTAATGCCTAGTTTTATAATTAAAAAAGACAAGCGGATTTAAGTATGAAAGTTATGTTTTGTTACTTTATAAGTGGTATTTGATCTTTCTGTTGAAGCATAAACAGACTGAAAAGTTAAACAGAATATTTCTTTCATCCACATTCTATTATTACAAAAGGAAATAGTGAGGTAAACTAGTCTTAATATCGGATTAGAAATTGTAACTAACGGTATATAGAAATTCAGCTCTACATACGTATGGACTTTTCTGGTCAACGTTTTTTAGTAAGGTTCTTTTCAACATGTCAGTCAGTTGGATTTAATCACTTCAGATTTATAAAGAGAATACAAAAGACAACTTAAGTTTTTTTCGAAATACGAAACAAACAACAAATCATTCAGAAATACATCAAATATTTATATAACAGACATGTACTATGAAAACATATGATGAAAAGAAGTATCCTGAATTAATGATGAATTACTATAAAAGCGTCTGTTAATACTCTCCAACATATTTTTGAAAGGAACGTATGAAGCTGCAGTAATTGAAGATAAAGGTACTCTGAACACAACCCCTAGCAGGCGAGCCCGACGATAACAACTATTTCGATACTGTGGTTGAACATGGCTATCATGACCACTCAATTGGGGTACGGTAGCCAAAAAACAGAATTCTTGAAGTCACATAATAGTAAGCAAGTTGGTTAAGTAGCATTAAAACCAAAAATGGAAGATTTAAATTTCAAGAGGAAAATCTTATTATCACAGAGTGACGGCAAGCAAGGTATTTTCTAAAAACGACCAGTCTATTCAGTGATTTTGCCTTTCTAATGACAGTAGGAATGGTCAGCGAGATTCACACTCCACGAGTTTTTTTATCCCTGTGATAAGAATTGAAAAGTACGGGTTCAACAGAACAATAAATGTTTAGAAAAAGATTGTGTGCAGCTGATTTCAAAAAGTTATTTCTATGGCTCTGATGTTATCTTTTCAGGTTAACAAGACGTTCAACCAGTAATCCAGTATCCCTTGCAGGTCGCACAAGAAATGTTCTAACACAATGTGAGTAATCAATTTTCGGCACATCTCTAAAATTGACCGACTTCGTCTTATTTATAACAAAAATCATCAATTTATGGATATTTACACACTAATACAAAATTTGTCAAAATACAAATTCAATCTACTGATTATAATTAACTTTATTTATTCTTGTGTAAAGAAGAAACAACTTTAAAACTCCATGGTAAATTAAAAGATTTCAAACAAATAACTCAATGAGAAATTGCAAAGAAATACTACAGATAATGAAATAAATACATATTACGGATATTAACAATTACACAGAAAATGTTCAGATTATCATAAATCAACCTGAACCTACTGTTGTCGTCTCACATATCGATTGCTCATTAACATCATTATTACTGTTATCAAGATTGTTTTGGTCTTTATCACAACTAACTGCCAATGATAGTTGTTCAGATAATTGCCCTTGATCTGTGGCTTCTGAATTGGAATATGACAGAGGAAAATCTTGATTAAGCATAGAATCCATATCGTAAATGGTTGTAGACAGTTGGGAGTCAGCAGAAATATGATTTTGATCCAAATGAACAACAGTAACAGGAATATTTAAATCGATCACTTCAACATCATTTGACAAGTAATCTGTGTAGAGCAATAGATAAGATAAATCGCATTGTCGAATGATTTGTAGAATTTTACGGTGTGAAGAGTAATTATTATGAACCACTGTTGTGGAAGTAGCCTATGAAAAACTATCAACACTAACACAAACTAGTATTAAGAGTATGGATAACTAGACTAAGGATTTAGTGACTCACAATTATTGCGATTAAGAAGAGGATTAGTGAGGACAATCACTCCATAACTACAATCCGACAGTAAAACATAAGACATTGCACTGCAGTAATATACATTTTATTTTTAAGACTGGAATATGTAGAGAGAGATATACGAAGGAAAATGGATAGAGTTAATACTGTTAAAAACGTCAAATGTGGTGGAAAACAGGTGAAATCTTTGGCTAAGTCAAACGACTGATTACGAAAAATACTGTTTATCAAAGAAGTTCTGTCTGTTATTTATTGCTTGCCAAACACAATTACTGAAGGGATGAATGGGGCATAGCGTATTAATTGATAGGTGAATAAGAAGTTAAGAAGTTAGTAAAATTTCATTCTAAAATACCAAGTTTGAGGGACTTGAGTAATCAAGTACAAAGAGGAATAAAAGCAGAAATACGCTTGAAGAGTTTAGTTATTAAAAAATATCTGCTTCTTATGTACGTTACAATTACCGTCTCTTATATTATTGAGTGGTGATGGTAACAAAATATTGCGTCCTTGTAAATAAAAACTATTCTTTAGCTGTCTCGTTGAATATTTGAGGGAAAAGTTGTGGGATATCGCCAGACATTGTTGGTAGTTCTGTTAATTTACTTTAAAAATTCTTCTATTTCTCGTAAACTTTGAACTTTCCACCCCTACTTTTCAGTGGTTTATTTTTTGGTAATTTAAACTTTTAGTACATCAAGCTACTTTTCCTCTCTTAAGATAACCTGCTAAGTATTCATAGGTGTTAAATTTATGAAAATGATTAAAATTTCAAATTACGGGCGTCCCTCTAATACGAAGAAAAGCTAATGAGAACTCGATAGTACAGCCACTGACATACATGATGCTTCACAAATTACCCCCAAACAACGAAACCTATGAGTAAGACAAGAGTTCAGAGAAAGCTTGATATTCCAGAAGTCAAAACTAAGCTATAACAACACATTTTGATAAAACAATAAGAAAACGGAGTTAAAATATTCGCGCTACACATTTCGAACAGTTTGGTCATGCATATTTGTCAAAACATTTTATATGAAAACTAATAAAGGTCGATTAAATAAACATCCAAAACTGTAAATAAAGCAGAGAAAAGTTAATATCGGAATAATGAAAATTTATCACACCACCTTTGGCCGTAAAGTGGCTTAAAGATTATCAGGCTAGATTCAAGGTTGTCTCTAAACATAAAGGTTTGAACTTGAGAATAGTTAGTTTCTATAAACCTAAGAATTCGTCCTTGACGATGCCTATAAAGTGCTTCAAAAGCTATTTTGATGACCTTTATTAATTTTCATGTAAAATCCCTTAACAAATACATGTGTGACCAGACTTTTCGAAATGTATAGTGCAAATACACCACTTTTCAGAACAACTCCGTCTTCTCATCCTATCAAAATATACGAAAGGAACTGTTTAAAACTCTAGGAACTTAGCAACAAAACGCAACCTTGGGACACAGTAAAATCAGCATACTAATAGTCAGAAGACAGGGAAGGTCGTGTAGAAATATGAATTACCAAATATATTATTGCATACATATAGTTCCCTTTATTATCTTAAATAGAGCAAGAACAAAGATTGGTGCAGAATAATATGAATTCATTTTATTTCGTTAGGTTCTCATCAGCTGCTTACAACCTAAATTATTTGAAATTCAAATTATTACAGATATTGACATATTTATACATAAGAGTGTGATTAAGGATCAATACATGTGTATGATGATGAAGCAAAGATTCAGATAGAGTTAATGAGCTCATAAAATGTTTGATTCGAATAAATAAATAAAGTTAGAGAGGGAAGGTTCTGGAACATTGAAATAGTGATTAGAACTCATGAAAATAGATTAATGGTAATAAAGAAAATATGAATTGAAATCAATCAGTTATGTATGATGTGATTTATATTTCAGAAAGAGTTGCAATAATGACGTAATAAATAAATAAATAAATAGGAGCAAATGAATAGAAAGAGTGGGGGTTATTGTTACCAGAGTAAAGAAAGATTTATTACTGTCTCTTTTTGTATACATAGATCTGGTTTTAAACGTTTGATTGCTAACGCTTCAGCGAATTTCAAAAAGTTCGAGTTTGATTGTTTGTTAATCACCTTGAAGGACTTCAGTATATCAGCTTTATGTCCTGTATCAAGGAGATGTCTTGCGATAGCACTGTTGAATGCAGTTATCATTGGTGGATAGAAACGAACATATATTGGAAAAAAACTAGATAACCCGAATTCGCTTTGGCAAACAGATTTTCTTGAAACAGTATGAAATATTTTGAGATGTTTCGTTTCTTCACTTTTAACATCAAATATCTGGGATCTATCCGCGAATGATGTAAGCTTACACCTTATCTTACCATATCAGAAATATAACTCTAGTTATGGTTTTAATCCGTATTTCGTTCCAATCATTTATCAGAATTTAAAAATACCACAAACTATTTTATGATAGAAAAATTTTGAGTAGGAAAAAGTATAAAAAGTGGACCTGAAACGAAATTTACAAAATTGTTTAAAGTAAACAAAAGAGGGCTTTGATATATCTCAATATGTATGGATAAATACTAAAAAAGCTCAGTATTGTTTATTCCTCTGCCTATGAACAAGAATTTCTAATTGTAATGATTTTAAATATTTAAAGCTAACCACATTATTAACAGGTGGATGAGTTACTCAATTCATAGATTTTTCAGTCATTTTTTAATACTTTGAATGATTTCCTTTAGTCTTTAATTACTAACAACAGATGATAAACGTTAACCTGAAAATTGAAAAATCATTTCACACAACAGTTGTCAGTGGATGATATCGTTTAGCTGAAGTTTGACACTTTGACGCCATTTAAATCTAACCGCTATCACTATGCCTTAACGAGATGTAGTATCTTTTTAGTGTTTCAGTAAATTTATTGCATAAAGTTCCATACAGATATAAATTTTATTTATTTTATTTTATTTGAACACATATATATTGGTACAGGAGTGCGCCAAATATATATGCGCCACACAATTTCAGTTCATTAATTGCGTGTGGGCTGCGATACTGCCCGGGTGCCCAGACCGAAGCAGGTGGTTATCTTAGGGGGCCACACCCCGAGCCTTTGACTTAAAGGTCTAACCCACAAGGCAGTGGAGCATCGTAAGGAGATGCAGCCCCATGGTAGCCGGTGACCGAAAATTGGTTCATACGCCATTTGTTCCCGCAGGATACTGGTGCCCATGTGCACCATAGATTTGGAATCCGGTTAAAGCGCCGGACATTCGCTGTTCGTCCTCTCATTTTCGTAAACAACACCCCCGCCACGAGAAGGCAGTGAGTAGGACTTCCCTGGCAGAGGCTGTATACGCGCGGCCGTGTGAGAGTATTTCGAGAGGGAGGGCGAACCCACCCCGCTCTCGGCCATACCAGGGCCTTTGGGGGGGTGTAGTGTACGAGAACAGCAGTTGGTATAATCAAATGTATTTGAACACAAATTAAAAAATCTCATAGTAAAATCTGGGAACCATACAGAACAAACTTGATTTGCAAAATGTCAATCAACTGTCCCATTCTTCATTGTTCCTTCATTCCCACACTAATCAATCACTGTTCTCGTTCTCTTTTCTTCGGTCTTCTTAACCTTCTGCCGCCAAACATTTCACTTTCGATTGATGATAAATACTACTTACATCTGTCGACATCAGTTGCACACACCACATAGGTACGAAAAAAGGGACAAATATCCCGTATAAAACAGAGCGTAATGAAATTTACTGATCAAACACAGATCTTATCCTCTAAAGGATTGATAATAAAGGTCACCAGCTAAAATATTTGAAACAAACAAATCTATAAAAACGGCAACAGATTTCATTCCTTTTATGCTACAAGAGTAAAAACAGACCGGTGGTACATACATAAAAAGATAAAGTTAAACATTCACGTAAATACAAAGGAAAGTATGGTGAAAAAATGTGATTATTTTAGATGTGTTAAAGGTTTATATGTTGTTAAAACCACCGAAGAAGAAAAATATTTTGGAAGTGTTGTCGTTTACTAATTTTAAGAAGTTTCTTTCCAATAAGACTAAATAAAGGTACACATACATAATATGTATTGAAAATGATTTACCTGAAACTGGCTGACAGTTTGTTGATACACCATCATAATGTGAAGAGAAGTATACAGTCCCTTCATCACTTTTACTGGTACTATTATTATTCACAATATAAGCACATGAAGTTATCTTGTTTGCTAGCAATGCAGAATCAATATCAGTCGTGGAAAAATTCTGGGATATTGAAGAATTTATTTGAATATGATCACTGTTTTTATTCTCATTTTTGTTATCATTAGATGAACAAATTTCATCTGTTGTATATTCGTAATTTGATTCACAATTAGTAGATATGATAGTATGATTAAAATTTATTTCATTGGAATTATTATTATTTGTTTGAGTTAATTCAACTGGTGTACCTGTCATATAATATAATACACCATCGGAACTCATAACAGGATATAGTTGAATAAAAGAATACGGTGTTAAAGATTCATGACTAAATGACAAGTCACAATTTGTAGTTATAGCTTTAGTTGTATGTAGCTGATTGTCTGAACAACAAGAAACTGGATTTTCTATTGATGAATTAACTACAACATTAGATATGAGGGAATCAGTAGATACTAGACTAGAATTATGTGCATCAGACGACCATGGAATAGGGTAGACTTGAACACCGGGAATAGAAGAATCATTTGATAACTATTAATTCCAAAAAAAGAAACTTTATTAACTTGCAAAATCTTAACGGAGAACTATATATTTGTATAGAATTTATTAGAAAAAGTCAGTACCAGTAGTGATCTGAAAGCTCAGTTGTAGTATCTTTACTAGTGACAGTGAGTGACATCGGTTTGGACTGTACGAGGAGCATCAATTCCTTCAAGATTGTAGATATACCTTATTGACGGATGCTAACTTCTAGACACAGGGCTTACTAACAACTGCCCCAACAACTTAAAATCAACGAAAATTAATATGCTTAAAAAAGAAACACAATTCAGCATGGCAGTCAGTACAATTATATATATACCAAAAGAGCACTGATATTGTTATGATGAACTATGTTAGAGATTTTACATTGGTACACAATATGTTACGTGCTAACTCGACTTACCACTTGAGCTAGAAGAAAAGAGTGAAAGAAAAAGTCTATTGGGCTACTAAACAATATGCATAAATAGTCACATATATGTACATGACCTTTGAAAATGAATTAGTTTCTTAGCTAATGATATGCATTTGTCCTTAAGGTTATATACTTGGTTGGCATCAAGTGACCCTCTCGTCTGAAGAAACAGCCTTGGAGTGCTTCCAGGTCTTGAATGGTAGTCTAGTTTCAATTGACTCATGATCTCAATCACTGATAACACATATAAATCAAAGAATTGCATGTTAAGAATAGATTCAATGCATCAACGGAGGTAGACTGTTAACATCAATTTTTAGAATCATCACATGTAGCATTCTATGGGTGTCAAACAATGAACTCTATGGTTTAAAAGGAGATAGGAAAAATATATGCATACACCAAATGCAGGTGTCTCGATAAAATGAAGTGTAATCTGATCTGCTAAAACGAAACACAGCAAATAGTTAAAATGATTGCATTTGTAATTTACTACTTACATTTTGTGACGTATCACTACTGTTACATGTAGTGAAAGAAATCTGGGAGGCATAAGCTGCTGCAACAGTGAGTAAATGCGGTGGTTTATTAACTGTATCACTTGTGTTGACCATAGAATCATAAATTACATGATTATTTATATTCATACCATCATTTTGGTTATCAGGATTATTATTTGCAGAGTGGAGAACAATGTTGGCTGAATTTGGATGAATATGCAGATTCCCGTTCGACGTATAATTTGATGAATATTTGCATAGTCCAATAGAAGTATTATTACCACCATCGTTCTTATTGACTTTTCTTGCCAATAATGAATTTTGTTCAGATGAAAATAAACTGTTAGTCTGACGACGAGCATTTCGACGTTTTGGTTTTAGATCCAGCAATGAAAACTGCATGGATGATTGCTTATTACACGGTTTAGGCTACATTTTCGTTCCATATTTTTTGGGAAAAAGCAAAACGTAATAATAAATACAAGGTACGATTAACAGTTAAACATCTTTCTAGTGAATATTCAAAATTGAACAGGGCTAGGCTGATAGCTTCACAACATTGTAATCAGTTTCGATCCAGTTTGTAATGGTTTAGATTACCCCACAGTTGATATTTTGACTGAAATCTTACCAGTCTATTCTATGTAAAATTGCAAATAATTATTCAGTCAGTCAGCTACAACGTAGGACCAAGCACAAATATGCATCGGTTCAAGTTGCCACATCTCATTAGTACAATAAGATGAACATCAAGTTAATAATAGTTACTACGATGATAGTAATATATAAAAGAAAGATTGTGTATAAAGATATAATACAAGAAGAAAGAACTAGTTCGTAAAAAGAAAGATATAAAGCAATTTTAATCTCACGGTTTAAGGGCAGACATATCTAAGAAAATCTTTTTAAATAAAACTAAGTAACTAATTTATGATCAAATAATCATTATTTTTTATAAGTAATAAGATATAACAATAAACAATGAATCAGAAGAGTTTGGTTTACAATTAGACATGAAAAACAATTGTTTGATAAATACTTATTAAACTTATTCAAACTAATTCACCAAAAAATAACCTTCCATGTTTCATATCTTTGTTTTAATGATTATTTCTTCAGAAAATCCCCTAAAAGTATTTGGATAAAATAAAAAACAAACTATTTATTCCTCATCATATCTCAAATAAAGCAAGTTTGTGAGTGTGTGAGAGATAAAAATCTAAACAAAATATGTTTGTTACTATAGATGTGGTGTGTGCTACTTATACCTGTCGACATAAGTAACATATGTAGGACCAATTGGAAGTGGAAACCCTATCAGTAGAAGGCTAAGAATATCAAGTTGAAGAGAATAGCAGGGAAAATAGAAAGAAATAACGAATAGGAAGAATCATACAGATTGTGAAGGATAAATGATGGAATTTCGCAAATGAAGTATTCAATGTATGGTTCTCATATTTTCCAAGAGATTCTGTAATTTTATGTTAAAATATATATTCGTTGTCCCCACCTGTGTTCTCGTTCATTGCATAGAGACAAAAAATTACTACAGCAACGATTTTTGTCATAAATGGTTGTAACAACAAAATGTCACGATGTTGATTCACAATACTTTATAAACCATTTGTCAACAGAAAAATTATACTTGATTACGGTTTGAATACACGGAATAAGTTATTTTTAAATCGACGGCAAGTAGATGAGCTAATATATTGATAAATTACATGATATAAGGTACAAACAAGTGGTTAATTTCAATGTTTACAAGGAAATGATGAATAATATCATCAAGGTAGAAACTAAAACATCAGTAATGTGTGTTATCGTTGTTCTAAGTTACCTATATAAGTTCTCTTACAAGTGGGAATTGAAGAACTATAATCTATAGTTTAATGATACTACAATATCATACTTACATTTGACATAGTAACACATATAGTACGATAATATAAATTATAATGATGAAATCCAAACTAACTAAGCAGTACAACTAGATCACTACTTCTAAACTGTTTGAAAGTATAATAAACCTTCTTTATGGGTTAACGGACAAATGGTAATTGTTATCATTACATTAATTTAAAAAATGCATTAAATGAACGTAGAATACAGTAATCATTATGATACTCACTAGAATTGTACGATATCGAGATTCAATGATGTTTTCTTTACGATGATTATTATTATTACTATCAAGTAAATCATTCCTATAACTATTAACTGTATCATTAGATCGCGTGGACTTTTTGTCTAAATTTAGCAACGAAAAAAGATAAAAACAATTTTCTTTAACTAATTTCTAGGTAAAATCCAAACTGGAATATATGATACAATTTCAGTAAGTAATATAATTATAATTCTAAATTTATTCATGTAACTCGATAGGGCAAATTTCTTTCAACATAAAATGAGTTAATTAAATCTGTGCAAAGAAATAAGCAATTGAACGTAGTGATTAAGAAAACATAGTTCAGATTTTAAAATGTTATTCATTTTGTCGGATTTAAGTGAAAAACGCGCTTGCCTTTTAAATCATCAAGTTTGATTGTATAGAAGATAGTGTTATGTGACTAAGCGTTATTTGACTAGAATTTATCTTATTCAAATCAACATAGGGAAAACTTTATAAATGCATCTACATAAAGAACTACATACATAAGGTTAAAAAGAATAATGAAATGTGTAGATATAGTTGTAGATTACTCGAGTAACAAACTTCTATTTAATAAACTGACAATTTAATTACTAGTTAAAGAATATATTTTACATTATAGAGTTTAAGAAAAGATCATTATTTATGATGTCGACAGCCACCTCTTTAGAAGTAAGATACATTATCTCCCTTAAGATGGGACAAACTATATATTGTATTAAGGTAGAGATGTAGGAAAGTTATATTAACTGGATCATTAACCACAAGTCACTCCCCATACCTCTGTTTAGACCAGTTTGGCCACCTGAAAATGAGTAAGGTATGATTACTTTCATTCATTTTTTTAGCAAGACAGCTTCTTACGCAGTTATATTTTTCCTATTTGTCTGGTTGAGTTCATAGTAGTTGAATTGGAATGTACAAGGAAGTGAAACACATTATTTCACGTCTAATTTTTGGTCGGAAAAATAAGTATTTAAAAGGATTACTTGTCAGTGCTTTCGTAATTCACTGACAATTATGTCATGTGCTTAGATGCATTTGATTATTGAAGATGGTCAATGATTCGAGTTCTTCACGCTATCCAACTAGATTTGACTTTAGGTATGTGTAGACAACTCATTTTACACTGATATTTTATAGACCAGACTTGAAAGGTACTATTTGAAACAGCATAGGAAAGTGGATTTCTAAATATAAGTTTTCAAACTAAAGGAAAGCAGCTTGTGACCTTCAAAACTGCGACTCTGTTAGAAGAGAACAAATTTCTTCATATATCAGTGTGCGAAATTGTACGCTCCTAAGGAGACCTTGAGATAACTAGTTTTCTTTAATAAACGTTAGTTCTTCCATAACTACATAACTGGAATAACATTTTTTCCACTTCATACTATCGCGCTGGCCTTGGTTGTTATTTGATTGGCTATTGTCACTTCTAATTTACTAGTTTTATGGGGTCCAAAGGTCATTTTCTATTGCTATATACTAAGAGTTGTTATATTTCAAGTTTGACTTAGTTAGATATCATGCTTTTTGTGTTGCGTAGCGCGTTGCGTTGGGGATAATCGTTGAAGCATTGTGCGTCAGTTGCCTGATCTATGGAGTTCGCATTAAATCCCATTAGTATTAGAAGAATCTCGTATTCGTACGCAGAAATCGCCATAAGCCTAAATCATAAACACCACATGCACTCAAGAAGTTCATATGCATTGCCTATCGTTCTATCTATGAAGGTAAAATATGCATTTCCGAGAAGGAGGTTGAAACAGAACCCTATCATGAACAGTCATTTTTATAACACTTCTAATAATAATATTAGTGATAACAAGAGAGTTGATATGAAGAAATAAAGTTAAATAGTTACTTACTTGATTTATGCGCTCTTGCATGGATCTACAATGAACATAGACAGAATTTAGTGGATAATTTAGAAATCCTTCTTGAAAATAGTGTGAATATAAAACAAGCCAAGTTTCATTCAACTTAGTCATTCATAATAGTTACTTTACATTATTCCCTATACCCTAGCCCATAAATAAAACAGAGAACTTTAAATTATAAATAACAGAACTGCACACACTAAACACAAACGTACACTTATTATGCAGTAAATAGAAATAACATCATTTCTAGACTTTAGTTATCACAATCCTCTTGCCTTAGGGGATCATGGTAGTACTATCAAAGGTGTTACCCATTACTTGACGCATTATCCAAACAAAAGTATCAAGTGTCCACGCAACAAAATTATTGATGAGTTATGCAAGCAAAAAATAAATATAAATACATTTGTAACAGAGTCGGTATATCTCTTGAAAAGATAGCTAATTGAGGAAAACAGCGAAGTTTATTCATAATTACTCATCAACAAATTTGTATATGGACTGAAATACTGCTTGAGTACTCAGACCTGAGAAAGTGGTTTTCTTAAGGGGTCATTCCCCGAGCCTTTGACCTAGAGGTCGGATCTATATGACAAACGGGAAACACTAAATTACGTCTTACGTTAGCCAATAGTCAGAAACAGATTCATAAGCCAAGTTTCTTCAGGGTCATGAAGCGTTTGTACACTACTGGCTTGAAATCAGCATTTCCTAACTCCCTAAACCGAACAACCTGGAAATAAGCGCACTCATTACTTTGAAACAGGTTCATGAATTTAGTTTGACTCGTTCCGCAACTTCATTATCTCTGCGACATTCTTGTTAGTACACTCTTACATAATAGCACTATTTCACTAGATATACAGGACAAACTGTATTCATCTTGATCATATTGAGCATGTAGTCCCACTATTTTGCATAATAAGCTCATATAAGATAGTGAGAACAATTCATTAATAATCCACTCAATTAAAACATGATAAATATCATTAATAATTCTCTAGAGATTAGTATTATAAACTAGCGCTACTGTATAAAAAGACTGAAATAACTGATAAAAATGGCATTATCGTAAGTAACAACAAACAGAACTTAACCACTGCACTTGTCGCTTTAGAAGAAAAACCACCATGATAATAGAGGATACATTATTAAACGTCATAATAGATAGACATTTTGGGGTAAATTACTTTTATAAATACAGCTGCAACTATTGATAAAATGATATTTAGTAGAACAACATCATAGTAATTGACGTTACTTCTCTTAATATACAATTAATAATAATGCTGGTGTGTTCAGATGCCAAATATTAATTTGATAAATATTTACTGAAACTATCTTTTGAAGTTTTCCAATCAGTCCTTAATTTTCCACATTATACAAAACAAGACTAAATATGGAAGTGATAAGTGTAGCTAAAAATACAGTTCTAATGCAATGAAAACGCCATTCGAAAATTGTTAAATTACTTTGTATGCCTGACTGGTAGCAAAACTACGATTGCACTGAGAGCACATAAATTCATAGTTTACAGTGGTGGATGAATATTTCTCAGGTGAATGGCCATCTAAATCAACTATATAAAAAAAAATTAGCCGAAAAAATGAAAAAAAACGAAAGATAATCAGTAGAAGTAATCTTTTTTTGGTATTTGTGAGATAAACGGCATCCCCAATTGCATAAATTAGGCTACATGTGACAACATCGATCTCAGTGATACATATACACTCATTATTTACATATGTTTAAATTGTGTTAAACTACTATTCTATACTTTCATCAGCCGACTTCATTAGTTTCACTTAGGCGTAATCCATTATATTCGGTTTTCTATTAAAATCAGAGTTGGCATTTACACTCCTTAGTTGATCATACTGTTGTTGCTGCGCTGATGTGGAAGGTGGGGACTTGAAGTGGTACAAATTTGTGCTCTATTGAATATATATAAATTATTATTTATTCCCTAGCATTACATTATCTATTTACTTTCATCCATCGCGGAGACTTGATTTTCTACTCTACAGTACGAATGAATTGTTTCCTTATATTATGTGCAACATTTCATTATAATTGCTGTATACGACAAACATAACACAAAGGTACATAAACGTACTTTCGTAGCCTAGGAGAAGCATATATCTATTACGATATCAAGATATCAGTAAGTTTTATTTATTGGAACACATAAATACTGGTAAAAGAATGCGCCACACAAAACAATGAGAATTTAAGGGGAAGGAAAAAAAGAGAATAATAACGAAGAGATTGATGTAAGGTGGTGTAATAATAATAATGGTAAAAATGGGGGAACGGAAAGGTACAATCAGAAGAAATCTTTCAGTTAATGGAGAAACAACCACTTTTTATGAAGAAAGTAAAAGAAGGTTACAGCAGGATCGCCACTGGCTTCTATTCTGAGCCATATCTGATAACGTCTCTAGCCACTGTGTAGCACCATCTCTACGACCCCAGCCAAGAAGTCAAGAATGACCAACAGAAGCCAGTCCTTTGCAGCTTTCTTTCACACCACGACACAATGTCATATACTGACCACCTCTCCACCTTCTCCAACCAGTCCCAAAGTCGGCAAATGATGCACGACGTGGAATTCTCTGGGACGACATTCGTAGAACATGTCCAAGCCACCGAAGTCGGTGTTTCAAGATGGTGACACCAATTGCATTGTCGTCTCTGTGCCCGAACACACCATGCCGAACCTCTGTATTGCTAACATAGAGTTGCCACCAAATGTCAGCAATCCTTCAGAGACAACGATGATCGAACACAGAGAGTCGTCTAACATCCTCAACTCGGAGAGGCCAGGTTTCACAAACATAGAGCAAAACTGCTCTCACCAGCGCGTTGTAGATCCGACCTTTTACAGCCAGACTAACATCACGAAGGCGCCAAAGATGGCCCAGATTGGCATAAGCCGCTCTGGCTTTCACTATTCGTGCATTGATCTCATCATTCACACCACCACCAGCACTTATGCAGCTACCTAGATACACGAACTTTCTCGACTACTTCTATCTGCTCACCACCTAGGGTGAGTACAGGATTAGAATCCTGCCAGTCTTGTAGAAGGACTTTGCACTTTGAAGGTTCAAAGCACATACCAGACCTACGGACACTAATTGCCAACTGATTAAGTGCGGATTTTATGGCTTGGGCATTATCGCACAGTAAGACAATATCATCATCCGCATACTCAAGGTCGAGAAGTCTTTCTCCGGACAACAGATCCACACCACCATTACTTACATCCATCAGAGCTGTTTCCAGAATGTCATCGATGGCGAAATTGAAGAGGAATGGTGAGATTGGGCAACCCTGTCTAACCCCACTGCTCGAATGAAACAATGGAGAAAGGTGGTTGTATGCCCTCACTCTGCCTGAGGTGTTTGTATATAGGGTTTTAGGTTGTTAATAAACTTCTCAGGCACACCCTTCATCAATAGACAATCCCAGAGAACAGTCCTGTCCAACGAATCGAAGGCAGCCCTGATGTCAAGAAACACTACGATTGTTGGCCTTTGATAAGTATGGCGGTGTTCTAACATTTGGCGGAGGGTGAAGATATGACCAATACATCCTCTACCAGAACGAAAACCAGCCTGCTCCTCGCGAGTCAATCTTTCTCGGGTTTTGAACAACCTACGAAGTATGACGGAAGCCAATAGTTTGGACGCAATCGGAAGTAGACTTATCCCCCGATAGTTGTTACAGGAACGACGTGAACCCTTTTTAAAGATAGGGACAACTATCGACTCATTCCATGACGTTGGTACATTCTCTAGCTCCCAAACCTTTGTAAACAACGTCGTCAGTTCCTTAGTCAGAAAAGCACCACCATCTTTAAAAAGAGTCGGAGGTAAGTCATCTGGGTCAGGTGATTTGTAGCGCTTCAAGAGTTGGAGTTCCTTGCGGACTTCCGCCTCATTTGGTGGATCAGTCGTCGCCGGTCATGGAGGGCAGGACAGTTTGACCGATGTTGCCGGAGCAGCAGGCCAGTTGAACTGCCCTTCGAAGTAAGTATATCAAGTCAAATCTGCAAATTTTACACCAGTACTAGAGAGAAGCAATTAATAAGACGAAATGCAAATGATTCAAAATAGTAACATTACTGGCCTAAAGAAATTCTAAACAGGAAATATAATTTGAAAAGAATAGATGACAAGAAATAATATTAAAACTCAAGATCTAGAGTAAGACAATAAAAGAAATATTCCCATCACCGTAACCGATTATGAGACATATCTTCTGAGGTTTACAATTATGTATGACAATTATTTAGCTAATACTAAACAGAGAATCAACTGAATTTGTCCAGTTGAGTTTCATTAAAAACAAAAAAGAAGAATATAGGTCATTTGAACAATACGAGAATATCGACTACAGAGTTTATTTAAAGCCATATTAGCATCTACAAATGTTTAGCAAAACGAATATAGATTATTTGAAGTTCATGATCTCCTTTACTGTTAATGCTACAAGTTTTGATCGTTCTTTAAAACTATACTATGATAAGCTTCAGATTTCAAACTATTATTCACTTCTTAATATTTGATCTAAACAGTGCGCATCCACGATCCCGCACGCGGGATTTGAACCAAGGAACTTAAGTTTCGCGTGCGAACGCTTAACCTCTAGACCGATGAACCGGCATCTAACGGTATTAATGTCTAACTTCGACCAATCCACGATATTGCGTGACAATCTTCCATTGTCTCCTGTGGATAAATGTCTCACACCCGACACGGTTGAATTCCACTGGCCACGGCTTCGAATCCCGTGTGTGGGATTATGGATGCGCACTGCTGAGTCCCATACTAGGACGAAAAGGCCGTCCAGTACTTTCAGGTTCTCAATTGTGGTCTAACACTGATCGGTTCATGATGTCAATTAAAACTCAGCGATCTCCAAAACCCTATACTGTTAATCTAAACAGTTAAAAAAATCAAATAGTGTATAAATCAGATTTAGCGATTAAAGTATGAAATAAAATCAGATTTCACTGACAGTGAACTGAACATACAGTGAATAGCAACAAAATGTACGCATATTCCAATAATAAATCTAATAAACTCTATAATGTGGTTGAAAAAATAATTTTAAGAAATGACGAGTTAGTAGAAGGTTATGAGTGCTGGATATTGTTACTCAAAACTTGATGTCGATTTGTATGTATTCACTGTGAAATATCACAAAATAACTGCTGTTTTAAATAAATTATATCAATCTGAAATTGACGTTTTGATTCATTTACCGTTAGCTGACTTAACTATCAACGGCTGGAGAAAAGCAAATTCTACTTGCCAGCCAATTAACAACCTAATAATTATGGACAAAATGTTTCGTAAGCTGTACATTTAGTAAGTGTACAAAAATGTTTAATTATGTGACTTTCGAAACCATCATTTTCAGTTAGTAACCGCGCCAAGAAGTTCCGAGTCATTCACGTATTGTTTTTATATCAATTATCTAATAACTAACGTCATATTATTTAACCCTAAGTGTTAACAAGAATTAGAATCCAGAGCTTTTTTCCGACTGACTTTAATCAACCTACAATGAATATGAAGTACCCTGAGCTATTTAGTAATTCGGGTTAGTGGTTATAATACAGGTTGGTTGATAGGATTCAATCTAGCAACATGAACTAGGAATGAAATAGATCACTATTATATAGTTAAATTGTGCGTATTCTTCATATAACAAACGTAATTTTGAAATAACTTTGAGTAAGAATTTAGGAAATCGGAAAGCATTTTGTTAAACACTGTAAATACCTGGTTTTTCATCAGACTGATGAGCTGGTGCATGCGATCGAAGAGTGTGACGTTCAAATGCTTTATAACTACTAAAACAACGGTTACAATCAGGGCACTTATGCTTCAAGGAAGAGTTTATTGGCTAAAACGGGAAGAAAACAATAAAGTTATAAAGTGATATAAAGACAAAATAAACAACAAATAATACATCATCAAAATCATTTACTTTTTAATGGATTTATTGAATTTATGTACATACAAATTCAGTAACTACTGCACATAACAGCCTATCGCTTGAAAAATATGATAACATTAATCCGTTTAAAAAAGGTGGGATAACCACGAATCTTTGCCAACTTTCCGAATATACTGTTATAGCTTGAACCCTTATGAACGAACTATCAAAAACCAATATATATGATTTTATGAACTAAAATTTCTACAACTGTACTAAAAACTATCCACTGACTACCTAAATATGTTAAGTATTAATTATACTCACAAATTTATCGGCTTTAATAAAAACAAAATATTTATCCAGACTACTTTTGAAGCGTAACATTCCATTTAAAAGTTATAAAATTAATTTGTACACACGAGACAGAAGAAGGTATTACTAATTTTTTGCACCTCTAGACTTTCTTCATTGTGTTAATGTAAACTGAGGCAACATGGACTGATACGAATATCCATGTATTATATTGTTGCTATATTCTGTTAGCGGGACATAGATTAGATTAAAGGATATTGAAGAATGCTGATTAGTCATTTCCTAGCTAGTCAGAGCTAGTTTATTATTTATATGTATCTAAACGCGCATACATTGGTACAAGGATGCACCAAATAGATATGCGTCACATAAATCATCCGATTGATGTGAGGGCTGGGATACTGCCCGGGTGCTAGTGGATACTCAGAGAAGACTTTAGAATCTTCGTGTAAAATTATAAACATACATTTTTCTTGTGACTCCTACTTCCACTCAGCCTAGCTTATTTGGAATATAACTGCATTTTTGTTCAACCATGTTCTTACTTGGGGACTCATTGAGTAAGTCAAAGTGTCCGAAGAACACTAAGCAGTAAGAGTAGCTGCGTTGTAATAACAGAAATCATAACATATGGTTATGTCTATTTTTTGTATACTAAATTATTGTTATGTACTAAATGATTTCTTTTTCAGTTTGCTAACAATCTATATATACAATCAACATATATTCAGAAACATATATTTATTTGTTCATTATTTACTTACATCCCTTTTTCTATTTATTTAAATGTATTTTGTTTAAACTAATGAAAGCAACCCATGATGTCGTTGAAGAAAAATTAAAGACAATGTTGTATCTTGTTATTGAGATTTCAGTACGGGCCTTTCCTGCTTGCAGAATTGAGAAAACGATTGAACTACATTAATAAAATCAGTTCATTTCGTAATCGATAACAGCAACTAGTACACAACATATCAACACCTGACGGCAAACACAAACAGAAGATTAATTGTAGGGAAACTTGATGTTCGAAGTATAAAAAGAGATCACAAAGAATCCGTAAAACTACGTACATTTATAGTAATATAAACAATCAAGAGTATCGAAATTTAGTGATCTTAAAGAATCAGGTGCTATCTGTGGGGTTCGAACCCGCGCTATCCAGCTTTACAATATGAGACGTTAGCAGTGATCTATTAAGGCCGTCACCAAACTTTTTTCAAGACTGAGATATTTACGACCGATCGATCACTGAGTAGTGACCAGGATCACATTTGTCTAGTCCTTTAGATCTGACCGGATTTTACCCATCAAATCGGAATTATGTACTCCGAAGTAAAAATTGGGCAAACAAAAGTATAAACCGAAAAATAACCTGTCCAATTACAATCTTCCAGTGGATTATTACAACAAACTTACATCTTTGGGTGAATTAGATGCGGATAAGAATGCCCCATATACCAAAGATGAAGTAGATTCATCGTCCCCACCGGATATACCCACAGGTTTTTCTGGATTTAGAAGTTCTGGAACATTCGGTGCCGTTGTAGGCAGTGGTGGTGAGCTGTTTAAAGTGATCGTAATCTTCTTACGTGTGCTGTTCAATTCTCTTAAAACAGGAGAAACTGGTGACTGTGGGGGACTGATTGAATCAACTGAATTTAGATCGTTGGTAACAGGAGAAGCTTCATCTACATTTTTTGGAGATTTTGATGCATAAGATGTTTGGCAATACAAAGTGTTTAAAATGTCTGAAGTGTGATCTTCTTTAGTATCGGAAGCAGCGAAGGTTGAATTATCAGTGGTTAATACTGACTCCAGACCAATATGATTGGAATCATTTGAGTCATCACATGAACATAGTTCTGAATACATTTTGATCTGAATCTGGTGTCTATCAATAAGGTGAGTTTCAACTAAAGATTCATTATCTGTTCGAAAACCGGAACAAATACGACAAAGATATATAACTGATGGAGTGTTAGGTCGTTCCGTAGTAATATTTTTCTCACCTGTAAACAAAAGAAGGAAGCGCGAACCATAGTCGTAAGGGTTACATTTGCAGAAAAATAAGTGCAAAGAGAAGGATAGGTTTGGCTAGTCCTAACCTTCATACTTAAGTAAGGGAATGGAGTACATATGGACCAAATATATTGAATTAGTGAAAACAATTGTAAGGCTCTGCATTAAGAACGAGTCTTTTTTATCGTATAAAAATCGTCATTCCGTCCTTCAAAAACTAAGCATAATCAAAAAGAATATTTGCAAACGTCTGCGCTATTGTTAATTGAAAACCATGTGTAAAATGTGATTGATAGACGAACCCACCAATAATAAGGGAAACGCCCACCACCACATTAACTCCTTTTGACCTTGTACGACTGTATCTCTTTATTAACCAATCACAGTTTAATGTTCATTGTAAAACAATATTGGCTTGTTGACTCATTTTTTCTATTCTCTAGCTACTGTTCAGTATGTTATTTGTCTCTGTTTTTCTCTGTATTAATAGACCGTACTGTTTGTTTGTACGCTAACGATGTTAAGTTATGTTTTGGAAACAGATAAAGTTTATCTAGCCAAATAGCTTGCTTGTTCTGACTTTGGCTAAACCAACACTCTGTACTCGACAGTCTAGAGATTAGCTTCGAGTTGAATCTGTGGGAAATTGCTTCCTACACCATGACTGTTTCAAAATCACTGTTATAGAAAATGCTAGATTACAGTTGATTTCGTTGAGACATTGTATATTGACAAGTATGGTTTAGTTTCTTGAAGATCATAAATGATTTATGTATGAAATCAAAAAGATGAATGCCATATGTTATACATTAACTATGTACTAAATAATAATAATAATATTCCCAGATTCCATTTGAACTACTTTTACCAAACCTGAACATTCATTTAACACAGCTTTTAACCTGAATAGTATATAATGTAGAAAAATAAATCATTAAACTAATAATCTACTTCGACTGCCAAAATATTTTAAATACGAGCCTTCATATCTACGTGGAAGAAGCCGGCCAGAAATGGGGTATTGCAGAAATCTTGTTCAGTAAGCAACGAAATTGAGATCGCGTAGTTAAATTTCAGGTACTTATGTTTAAAACATACTGCAGACAGGAAGCACGTTGGAGCACGCTGACTAATTCACTTCTAACCAATCAGCGATAGTGGATAAGCAGAAAACACTCTGTAATCTCCCTACGTAAAAAATTATATATACAGTGACATTTTCTTACTATATGAACTTAGTTTAAACCACCTTTTTGCATGGAAATAATTACTTTCCTGTCTACGCTGTGTTTTAATTTTGGTATGAGTGGAGTAGGGTAAAGTGTTCAAGAAACACTGTGCAATAGAAGAATACTAGATCACAGTGAGAGACTTAATAGTTACTTTTAACCTAAGATTGCTAATCGCCTAATTGATTCTGATTTTCTGCAGTCATTCAGGTAGTAGGCAAGAAATGAAGTGGTTGGAAGAATAACAAGGTCTAAGTTGAGCTGACTATGGCAACGCTGGTAAGTTGTTTAGTCAGTGTACATATCCTTTTGATTTGGCTAATCATGTTGATTGCCCTGAACTGTTTTCAGCCATTCTATTCTATCGCAATAAATAACACACACGTTTAAGACAAGATACTCGGAAATCACTGCTAATGCTCAAAATATCACTTGACGCCCTCAAATAAAAACAAGATCTGTTTTTTAATACTATGATTCTCAATTTCTATCATTTTGATCAACTTTTTATCTGATTAATTTTTTAACAGGTGTGATTGTGATATTTCGTCTTTAAAGTTTCAGAATGACAGATAGAAATAGAATCATGATACAGTTCAAACGCTAATCTCTGTATAAACAATGGCAAAATTTTCTTGTATTGCACAAGTTATTTAACGTTTTATAAAATATATGATGACAGGTAATTAGTGTATGGTTCGTATTCTGCAAAACGGTACACATCAACAAAAGTGATACTCAATCCCTTTATTTCATGACTATGAAACGTGGTCTTTAAAATTAAATGACCACTTTATTCCGCTGTGTTAATGGGGTGTGACAAATTTAACCGATGTATACACGTACCATGTTCTGCATTGCGTTTGACTGATTGACATTTGTAGGTTACTAATATTCGATCATAGGTATCACACAACCATAATCCCCATATCCTGGGCACCATCAAGTGATTAATCAGTCAGCCAGTCGTGTGAAAGGTGGAACCTAACCTATGTGTGTGTCGGTTTAAGTTACCACGCCACATTAGGACAGAGACAAAATTAACAAGATAAATCCCAGAACAGTAGAAGTAGTAACAGTATCAGTAGTAGTAGGAAACATTAAGTGTAGAAAAAACGAAACAAAAATTCATAAGGAGATTTCGGGATTCAGAAACTAAAGGAAGACAAAGAGTGAATGCACTTGAGCTATTGTAGACGATTGTAAGCCATGTCACCCAAAGTCTCTAACCACTGATTGCGATAATCACGCGGACCCCCACTAGGAAATCTGAGTGAGCATTGCTAACGTTAAACACGGGGTACTAGCCAGAGACGATAAATCGGTTAATTAAGTAGTAAAATCTTTATCGAATAAGGTGGTTGGAGCAGGTGTTACGTATACCTAACCACCACTTCCCTAGATGCGGAATATCGTCTGGAGTAAGATTAGGTGGAAGAAAGCTAGGGACGGTCGAACCAAAATATGGAATCAACTCATGAATCTGTTGGTTGTTAAACCGAGCCATGTTGGTGTGTGCAGACTACTCGATCGAGGTCCTCTTAATTATCATGATCAATGGTTGGAGGCATGATTCAGAGTCGGTCCCAATGATACAGATCCATTCACTCTCTTTTTCTATAAGTAGATTTTGAGTTTCGAAGTAATTTTACAAATTTTATTTTGTGAATTCATTCTTTACTCTTAAATTATATTACATGTTCGGTCTTTTTAATCTCGCTGCTATTTCTACAACTCCAGTATTCATCATGTTAATTTGATCTTACTGCACTGATATGCTGTGGCAGCGTAAACTGATGTACATTTAAGCTAGGTTCTACACTGCTCATGACTGCGTGAGTGATAATGGGTTCCCGTGAAAATCATTAAATTACCACCATAGTTACCTTCAGTACTTGCAATAATCAATTATTACTTTGTTAATAATAAGAAACAAGTTAGTTGAGCGAAACTATAAATATTGGATGAAATAAACGAATAAGCCAAGCGGTGGCAAATGAATACAATAAATAGGTTGTGGACGGCACATCATAGTCTGACATTTACCAAGCAAACCGCATAAAAAATACCAATTTATTTCTTAGATTTCTACGAATATTGCCTATAATAAGTGCATAATTTATTTTGCCAGTGACTAACAAATAAGCTTATAACGACCAGTGAAACTGAAGTATACCACTATCTTTGGAAATTTAAAACTAATTTTCAATGATTATCTATATGCCACGGAAGAAAAATCTATGTTGAGTACGTCAAATAATCAAGTATTGTTGACAAATATACAAGAAGCTGATGTTCCAACTTTCATGAAGACTACATGTTACAGAAACCAGCTCACACATTGCTAATAGATCTCTAATAACGATAAAGAACGATAGACTCACTTGAATTCATCTACTATGGTTAGAGTAGACGGTTAGTATCATTGGCCTTCATACAAAGTGTAGAGTTAAGTTCACTTATACTTAGTTACTGAGTTATATTCGATCTGTCATAGGACAGAACTCGGTGAAAATGTTTGTTACATTGCAGAATATTCATGATTTGAATATGGAAAGTGTTATAGCTCTGTTTTCTTACAGGTTAATGACCCAGCTATTCCTGTTGCTTAGTATTCTCGGACACCGATTCACTCGACAAGTCCCCAAATCAAAACACGGTTGAACAGGAAGAAGATTATATTCCGAATAGCAAGTCAGAAGCCAGTAGGAAGCACAATAGGGGAAAACGTCGGTATATTTATAGTTTTTACATAAGAAGATTCCAGAATATTCTCCGACTATCGACTAGTGCTGATTGGATAAGAATCAGCCAATCAGCGTGCCCCAAAGCAATCATGCATTGAGCATGCTTTAATCCAGTCTGTGTCCCGCTAACACCTCCCCTTTGAGCAGATTCGTAGGATCTGGTGCTAGGGTCCAACTGCAACTGAGTGACTGGCTTGTGCTTCCGATTAGTTCATCGTCTAGGCAATAAAGAATTATAACTTTTTTTCTCGCACAGAGACTGACATGTCTGTTCCCGGCGTTTTTATTTTTTTTAAAATAAAAGTATGCATAACTTTTAATTCTCCAACATTCTCCTCCTCCGCGAAACAATGTCGGATCCTTATATCTCCAAGTTACAAATAATAGGACTTTATTTAAACGACGTTTCTCGCATTGAATGTCGGATCCACTAGAAACGACTAGATGATAATGAACGACCTTTGATTTGAGGTCAAAGTTTAATTCTTCTGAAGCATTACTTTCAAATCCATTAGGAATTTCATCAGTGGATAATGGATCATTACGGAAATCATCATCTAACAAAATTAAATTAGACTTTTGACCATAATTTGACTCAGCTGATATATTTTCCTGATTTTTATGAGAAATTTCATCAAAATAACATGCATTGTTCTGAGAACCCATGTCTGATACATTGTCATTAGAAATCGGATAAGCTGATTCAATATAAGTTTCTGTCTCACAATGATTTTGAGTAACATTCGGTATAATTGGGTTCGCTGTGTCACTGCAGTTATTTTCTGAATACGAGTCCCCATAGCTTTCTTGGCTAATATCACGTGGACCATAAATTTGTTCTAGCTGAAAGTTATTTTCAGAGCTAGACAGGACCAGTAGTGCTTCATTCAATTCTGGACTCCGGGCTTCATCTACAGGGTCTGGCTCTTGATAATCTCGTATTGCCACAATTTTATGAGCATTCAGCACAGGATTTTCTTGCTGTGAGCCGGAAACGTTACAAATATTACGTTCTGATTCAGGTATAAAGGGATTTAAACCCTCCACTAGATATGCTTCTGAAATGTCTGTTACTGCATCATAAACAGATTTCTTATTTTCTGGTCGAGTGAAAAGTGTGTTCAATAGTTGTTGTTGCAAGGCTAACAACTTCTGCTGGTGCTGTAATATTAACCGCAACTGTTCTAAAGAAATCGCCATTTTTCTTTAGTTTTTCCCCGTCGCCACTGTTATAATCCTGGTATTTTCTTACGGTTAATGACCCAGCTATTCCTGTTGCTTAGTATTCTCGGACACCGATTCACTCGACAAGTCCCCAAATCAAAACACGGTTGAACAGGAAGAAGATTATATTCCGAATAGCAAGTCAGAAGCCAGTAGGAAGCACAATAGGGGAAAACGTCGGTATATTTATAGTTTTTACATAAGAAGATTCCAGAATATTCTCCGACTATCGACTAGTGCTGATTGGATAAGAATCAGCCAATCAGCGTGCCCCAAAGCAATCATGCATTGAGCATGCTTTAATCCAATCTATGTCCCGCTAATAGAAAGTTTAGGGTGCCCAAGTCGTCAAATATTTAAAGACCCATGCAGCTCAGTTAATTATAAGACGGATAATAACGTTTTGCCAAATAAGTTAGAGTGAATTTCTTTAAGTGTTTTAGTGTGATCGTAAGATGATTTATGATCGGAAAGAAATGAAAAACATATATACAATTAAAGATGGAAACAACTCACATTTTATCTTGATTATGTACTTTTTCCATAGGTTGTTCAGCATAGTCCACTAAATACCATTTGAACATTGACGGAAAACCTGAGCAAGGGTGAACAATAATTAGAAAAACAACCAGTAATGTGAGAACGAAACATTTTTAACATGACATACAATTAAAGAATGTCAACAACACTAACCACAACAAGGTGATAATAACAGCAAAAGTAGTAATAAATGGACATTCTAGTATTAATGGATACCGTCGAGATACCATGTTATCACCATGGCAGGACTTCACCATGCTTGACTTGAAACCTAAAATCAAGTACTGGGCTTTGTATCACAGTTGCAGCTGCATAAACTTAAGTTCCAACCATTTAAAACAGATAACTAACTCACTGCAGCTGAGTTTACTTTCGAGATATTTACAACACTCTAGCTACATGAGAGAAAAAACTAGGGGGATGACATGTTATCAATGCATAACGTTGTTGACTATTGATCTGAATCATGCTGGTTGATGCAGAATACCCTGGAGTCAGAAAAATAACTGAGATCACTCGCTTAAGACTAAGAAACGGCTAAGAATCAGTCACAATGACACAGATGCCATTACTCCTTATTATCTTGATCTTTGAAACTCTAGTTCCCTCTCATACATACTGTTCTACCGTCTTTTTTAACCAGATTTTCAATACTCAAACATTATTTAGATCATTTCTGCCGTTCAGTTAGTTTCATTTCATCGTGCTTATATAGTATGACAACTTTGGCCAAAGCACATTCGTGCCAGGCTTTATGTTGATGATGACCGACTGATGGTTATTTCAAGCAATAATGTTACTTGCTTTAAAGTAATAAGCGACTTGGAGAATTTGAAGAACTAATCCAGGGGATGGAGTGCTACCGGAGAAAAAAAATCGAAAAGATGCTTCACTGAAAATATCACTTTTGTAAAAGTTGTATAAGGAACCAATCAAAATAAAAATGTAGATGAAACACTTCAAATTAAGTTTCATACAAAAAATAGTCCAAAGCACTACATTTTATTTACAAAAGGGCACTAACTAAACATATTTAGACAGGATAAAAGCCGGATACAAGTAGACATTTGAGAATTTCAAGACAAAAATATAAAAATGACTTTATGAACGGAAACCCAGAGTCTACGGGAATCGAGTCAACGGTCAACAGGATGTACAGTAGACCTTTTGTACTTTTCTACTGCAGCGAACCTGGGAAACTATCGTTCAAATTCAAATTTCAAAGCACCATGAATAACAGTTGAGCACACAATGCATTGGTAGCACCGAATCGAATTAAGAAACTTCTAACACTGTTGTAAACCACTGGGCCCGATTACCATTAAACTGGAGCAGCAGGCCCTGACAGGTTTACTCCTGAGATTTTTAAGGATGGTGGTCCAGTATTAGCAATGAGATTAACTGAGGTCTTAGGTAGAATTTGGGAACTGGACGTAATCCCATCTGACTGGTCTCAATCACTGATTGTGCCAGTTTTTAAGAAAGGACAAAAGTCCTCTTGTGATAATCACAGAGGAATCAGTTTGACTAATATAGTGTCTAAAATATTAGCCTCAATAATACTTCGACGCCTAACTAAAGCTCGTGAAGAGCAGACTAGAGAAAACCAGGCTGGTTTTCGACCTGGACGTGGTTGTATCGATCAGATATTCACACTACGTCAGGTTCTAGAACACAGACACACATTCAGACGCCCCATAATGGTAGTATTTCTCGACCTTAAGGCGGCATTCGACTCTGTCGATCGTGAGGTTCTATGGCAGTGTTTGTCACTGAAAGGAGTACCAAAGAAGTACATTAACCTTATAAAGGCTCTCTACTCGAACACAACTGGTAGAGTGAGAGCTTATGGCGAACTGTCATCAGAATTGATTACCTCAAGTGGTGTTCGTCAGGGCTGTCCACTCTCTCCATTCTTGTTCAACTTTGTCATTGACGTACTTTTAGAGATAACACTCTCCTCATCTAAATTTACAGGGGTTGAACTTCTACCAGGAGGTTCACTTGTTGACTTAGAATATGTAGATGACATAGTTTTATTTGGTGAAGACGCTGACAAAATGCAGAGTCTTCTGACCACTCTAAGCAACAATGCAAGCATGTTCGGGATGCGATTCTCTCCCTCGAAATGCAAAATGTTGCTTCAGGATTGGGTTACATCGACACCCGAACTAGTGATAGGGAGTGAAGTAGTTGAGTGTGTCGACCGCTTCACTTATCTTGGAAGTCTCATCAGCCCTTGTGGTTTGGTGTGTGACGAAATCTCAGCACGGATACAGAAGGCTCGACTAGCTTTTGCCAACCTGCGTCATTTATGGCGTAGGCGAGATATCCGTCTATCAACCAAAGGACGTGTTTACTGCGCAGCAGTTCGTTCCGTCCTACTTTATGGCAGTGAAACATGGCCGGTAAGAGTAGAGGATATCCGTAGGTTACTAGTATTTGATCATAGGTGTCTTCGAAACATTGCTCGTATATCATGGGACCATCGAGTAAGTAACACAGTTGTTAGGAAACGGGTACTAGGTAAAGATGGCAAATCAATTGATGACGTAGTGAAACTTCATCAGTTGAGATGGCTGGGACACGTGTTACGTATGCCCAACGACCGACTGCCTCGACGTGCTAAGTTCAGTGGTATAGGAGTAGGTTGGAAGAAAGCTAGGGGCGGCCAAACCAAAACATGGCACAAGTCCATGAAGTCACTGACAAGTGAACTGAGTCATGTTGGTAGGTGTAGACTACCTGGTTGGGGACCGCGAGATGACAGCAACCGATGGTTAGAGACCCTGAATGACATGGCTCAAAATCGTTTGCAATGGCGCAGGTGCATCCACTCTCTGTGTTCTCCCAAATTCTAATCTTCTGAATTCTTCATGTCCCTTTTTTCCTCTTTCCAAATTTCTTTCACTGGATTATACTCTTTAAATAACATCTCCAAACCCTAATCTTCCCGATTACTGCTTATACTCTTATTACCTCTACCACTACCGGATTTGAATCGACAAGTGCATCTCTGTGCTAATGTGGTGTGGCAACTCGAACTGATGTACGTACGTACGAAGTTCTACGTTGTTACTGACTGACTGACTGACCATTAAACTGATTATTTATAGATGTTAACCAAAAGCATTGTTAACTAACGAATGAAATCCATCAATTAATTTACAACCTGATACAAGGGTTTAAAGATTAAATTTACCAAGTCTCTAAACTGCACGGTAAAGGAGCGAATAGTAAGACAAGACCAAAACAACGCGTTGTGAATTTGAAGCAGAATACTCAGTAAACGTATCTACACGATTGGGATAGACTGAGACTATATATCACGATTACCTTAAAACAAAGAATTAATAACTAATTACTGTTGGGTATTCTATTGAAATAGGTGGTGGTTCAGTAACATAAATTTGTACTACCTTGGTTAATACATGTTTGCGTGAATATATAGTTAACTCCATATATTAAATCTTATTTAAATAACCCCTACAATAACTACAGTTTTTGCCGCTTCGTAATAGTGACCAATCTTTCCACGTCAGTTTTAAGAAGTGTATTACGTACTGTAGATAGCCATGCGAACGTTTGAATATAAGATAATATCAAGGAGTATGATAAAACTATGATTCACGGATGCCCCTTAGGAGACCCAAAAGTGACCTTGATAAATCCCACCTACTCACTAGGGTTAAAAATTAGTATGGGGAATAAGGATTAGAATTTGTAGTCAATGTTAGGAATTAGAATAAGGGTTTTAATTATTAACTGACATCAGTTACAATGCCGAAATCCCATTTAAACATATATATGGGTGAACTTCGTGTCGAAATCCCAGACCCTCTATCTTTAATTTTGTTGGTTCGACCAGAAATTAGTCTTGCCAGAATTACTTAGTGCATTAGCATATATTGTCCCTCATAGTCTACAACTGATTTAACCGTATTGGCGTTAATGAACCAATAATCCAGTGCAAAAGTAAAACAACAGGAATCTTTGGAGCATACTTATTAACACAATCGGTCTACGACTGAGAAGTTAAAGAAAACGGTAATGTTGAGCGGTTGTAATTAAGCAGCTTAACCATAGAAAATGTGAACATATGGTAACAATGTCTACTGTAAATATTTTAAGAACTGAAACAAATATAAGCAAAACAAAGCAGATTGATAATAGCGACCGGTTATAAAAGCCAATATTTAATGCAGAAACAATTCGTGTGGTTAACTTCAAAATTATTATGAATTCGAAAGCCAACACAGCATGAATCCGGTCTGTTCAGTGACGGAGAGCTTAATGAGTAGTTCAACAGTTAATGCCTAAATAAATGAGTAAAAAAATAGTCGCTATCAGTTACTACACTTTCAAACCAATAGGTCACAGGTTCACAATCTCACATGGCTACTTCAATTTTGGCGGATTATCATTAAAAATACAGTGTGGCTCCAACAGGAACAAAAGCACCCACACTTCCTGACTCAGTTACACCTATAATGGCACAAGACGGCAGTATACCTATCTACTTTGCTGAAACAATTATCTCAGTAGACCTACTGTTAAAAAAATGGTGCGCCTCATGTTACTTAACACCGCAGAATTGAGCTTGCGACTTTAAGCCCTAAAAACCATACTACCTGACAGACAAAACATAAAATTCAAACATATAATACGGCTATAGATGAAACGAAAATTTATATTTACTTTTTTTCTGTGGCCATTAACTACTCGGTTTTACTTGTACTATAGTGACCCTTGCTAATTAGAAATAACCAGAACAAAAAATTATGTGACGGAAGACGATATCAAGGTGATAAACATATATTCATTTCGCATTTTTTTATTTAGAAAGACGTAATTAGAGACAAATATTTGTCAATAAAGCTGTCCAATATTGGACAGCTTTATTGATCTCAACGGAAAAAATACACGTAATTCAATAATCTGTAGATGACAGGACAAATCTAATCTGTGGTAGATGGCTTTTTCACATAAATTTCGAATAAAAATACGTATATACTTAAAATTACCTTAGCTACATATGAGGTAAACTTGGGACAGAGAAACGAATACTTCCTAATCCCCGCCAAACTCAGTAGCACAACCACCGGTAACGTTAAACAAGGATCCATGAATTTCTTGCTATGTCCAATAAACTAGTTTAAAAAGTTGTGTTTCAATAAACATTACCAGACCACAGACTTTCATTTCCCTAAATTCTTGTATTAGATGAAGTAAAATATTTATTGCCTGGATAAAGTAGACGTCTAGTCTATCTTTTTCACTACTCCTAGAGAAATCGACAATAACTTCGTTATAGTTAGAGCAGTCAGATCAGAATGAATCGCCTAGTGACGGCGTTTGCTCAGAGTTAAAATATACTTTCCCTGACTGTCTTCGACGTAACTCCCTTGAGGGCAATTTTTGCACTTCCAGACGTGTTGTTTCAAACATTCTGAACGCAAATGATTTTAAGACGGACCATTATCCGAATATAGTTGAATTCCTGTAGGGATATTCAGGAAAATATCCCAAAAATTATCCTGTTAAGCCTAATGCTGTCCTTGGACATGAAATGGTATCATCTTATTGGTCAATATTTATTTGACGTGTGATTTTCCTGTTGGCCATTATTGTACAATGTTATCTTCTATTTTATGGTACGTTGTGGACTGCTTGAATGGTATATAAACAAAGTATGTTTGAAATATAATGATTCATATATCCGAGGCTGAGACTTTCGTTCTGGACTCAACTGGCTGGGTTAGACAGGGAAGCGAGACCAATCAGAACCCTAGGTCGTTCTACGTGTTTGTGCGTCTTTGGTCCGATAAATAATTCGCTACCCCTCAATCCGCAGCAAATATTTTTCACGTCATAACAATTCCAAAGAAATGCATTAGCATCAAGCCTAGCACATGATAAAACTTACTTCTTCTGCCCCCCCTCCTTCCTCATTCTCGATGGCAAATCTTTGAATCCTGTGACGGATCGCTCTACTAACCATCCCTGTTGCTCCAGTCACCACAACAGCAATCTCCATCATGTGGTTAATCAAGTGAGATATGAAGATAAGATGGAGAGTTCAGGCAAAAAATCATGTACTTTGCCTTATCTAAGGCCAAATTACATAACACAAAAGTGCTTTTACAGTACATGGGCGTAGCTTAGCTTAGAACATTATTCAAAATAATCTGGGATGTTGGAATTTAGATTTCAACACAGACTATTGAGACAGCTCGAATTTTTTTGAAGTCTGACTTTAGATTGCTTCTATCACAGATGGTTATTTCTGTGATTAAGTTATCCGGGATTAGTATCGTGTAGTATATCTAGGTCAGGACATGATACGGTTAGCCATGTTCTAAAAAGGTGATATTCGAGAACCCCATGTAAAGTGTTTTGAGAATATTATACTCTAAAAGACGGACCAAAGCTTGACTAGCTCACATATATTTCAAAGTGACTAGTAAGATAAGCAAATTTGCATAGATATAAGTATTGCGTAGAAAATACAAGTTCTGGGAACTTTTTGTACCTCTCTGCGTCAGGGTATGTGTAAATCCAATTCACTTTAATTTTCATGTGACGATAATGTATTTGTATAAGATTAACCGTGTTAGTTGGGAAAAGCACGGTCAAAGAGTTTTTATGAATAATACTTGCATCTACTACATTAGTACCACTGTTGTCGACAGGCTGTTGTGTTTTGTGATAGCTGAGCCAAATAGTGCGTAACTGGTGAACTCATTTAACACTGTACTACTGGGATTACAAGACATCTTATACTTAGATTTATGAAGATTAATTACAAGACGTGTCGGTACATACAAAATAGCTATAAATAGGATCAAATGAATTTTTACGGCTACAACATACTCAGAAGCAAGCCCCCCTACTTTTAAACACTGTTGGCAATGGTAAGGCCAAATAACTATCAGAAAATCGAACAATTCAATGGTAGCCTCACTTGATTGTTTTATGTTCATTCTAAAATCTCTGGTTAAATACTGTAACTTTGTTGGTGACTTACCGTAAATTTTGGAAGCAAATGTAAAGCAGCGTTTAAAATTTTATCACGAAACTCCGATTAATATACTACTTTGATGTCCAATTTTATTCTTCAGTGATCACACTAATCAAATCTATTGTAGCCAGTTTTATTCAGGTTCCCTGGAGACGCAGTTTATTAGATTTACAGTTGCAATAAAATGTGTTCAGTTTTTTTAAAAAACATGGGGAAAAGTAGTATTGGTAAGAAAGTTCTGGTGTATCGCTGCAACTGTATCAAGTGTATATCAAATCTGTAACAACTTAGGTTGGCTGGTTAAGAGTTGCGTGCAAACATCTAAGTAAATATTAGGACATTATAGCTCAAGTATTCATTCATTTCCTCATTTCGCATAGGCACTATATGTCCTAATACCTTATATAGAATACCTAAAAGCTTTGGGTGTTTGAAAAGAAAACGTCGCGATTCACTGAACCGTCTACGATCTAAATGAGCGCCTATTTACTAGTAATCTGGTTTCTTCGATCAGTAGAACGAGAGGAACCCATCAGCAGGAAAGATCTTCTGATAACCGTCATAATTTATTTGCCTGGAGCTTTCGGATCACTTGAAAAGTGATAAGACGGTTGATCACCCTAATATTTTTTCCCAGTCATGCAGTTCGCAAGAGTTTTCATGATATAAAGAAGTCCTGTACCGAGACTAGTCAGCGTTTTTTACCCTTGATTTAGAGGGAACGAAGTATGTGACATTGTCGGTAGTCACTACTTCTGAATAAGCAGCTCCGAGATGGAAGTTTCAATTGTTAAAGTCTCTGCCTCAGTTGCTGTTATTTGTTTTTTGCAACCTTTATGTTTGCCTCCAGTTCCTGGAGGAAGGCGTTTTTTGTTTGTCTCCATCTACTTTTGATAATTTAAAGCCAAAGTTTTCTTTAAGATGAAGGTTAAGGATTTATGCACATTATTTTATATCGAACTCCAGCGTTTTCGTCTAATTTCATGCTCAGCTAGCGGTTAGTTTTTTCACTGTTTGTATAAATTGTTGCTGACGCTCTCTGCTCAATGGATTTACGGTGTTGCACGTAAACAACAGTTCATAGATTGATGTACGTTCATATTGATTTTAGGTGACCATTTTTTGAATTTCTATACAGATAGCAGTTGAGACTTTTTTTGCCGATTCGTACTCTTTAATAGGAGAGTCGCTCACGTTTGATATGAACACGAAGGATGACCCAATAAAACAAAGATTTATTCGATTAAACCAAACAACTGCGTTCTTGCTTACAGGATGAGGAAACTATTGGAATCACAATCAGCGACTACATCAAAACTGGAATTCCAAGCGTAGCTGATGTGGTGCCATAATATTTTTAGGAAAGTTTATGTCTAAAACTCAATATATTTCAAGAACCACGATCACCCAACACACAGTCAAAGATCCCCTGATGCGAAATCATGCACTATACTGCAAGGAATGAGTAATACACAAGTCTTTCAAGTACCTGAGAATCGAAAGGAACATACTAGACAAGGTGAATCAAAAATCTGTTTCCAGGAATCATATCAAACAACAAACTTTCCAAGCGGGAAATCAAGGAAAACATTTAATCAGTAACCCGTACCTGCCATGTAGAGTTTGACCAACCAAGTCCTCATGGTCAACTATCTGTGATCACGCACTGATGAAAGCAAGGCCTGACCGAAGTCAGTCAGTAGATGTGTTTTCCAAAATGATCGAAAAATATGACTACGGACGTCCTGAGTTAAAACTAACACATGCAACACAAGGAGAAAAGTTCAAAACTAAAATTCAATCAAATAAAACATTTTGGAGAAATATCGATAGTATTAATCAGCTTACACTCTTAAATACACATTAGATCATCGTTATTAGTTATTAACCCCATATACGTATACACTGGCTACCGTTTAATTCAGGAATTCCCCACCAGAAGTGTTCTGATTAGTATAGTTTTAAAAAAGTCGAAGTAGTTTGGATTATGTACAGTAGATGCTCGTCCTTTCTCGTAGAATAATTCAAAATACACTGGTTGGGTAGGATATGGTTCGGATTAAAATATTTTACATATAAATTTTGCGGAATTATCTAACAGATTAGCACTACTAGGATACATAGATCTCAGAGTTGATCACTAAGCTTAAACAGTCCGATACGCAAGGCATCTGGTAAATAACAAGACAACAGGCACAGAATCATCACTATTTAAAAGAAAAAGAGGTTTTCAAGTTAATCAAGAGCACCATCCTACTTATTTTGGGTAGATCGAAAGGTCAGTTCCAAGGGCAACTGCCGAACCAGTGAAAATACTGAAGAAGAACTCCGAGATTAGAGCTGAGATTATAAAAGAAATCTAGTTCGTAATAACCACATATATCGGTTGGAACCTTAAAACAATGACAATTGCAATTGAAGAAAATAATAACAGTTCCATCTAGTGCTAAAGCTCTAACTGGATGTGTGGACAAAATAATTGAAACAATAACTCTACATTTAAGAGTATCGGAAAGGATTATTTGTAGTGGTATTGGTCCTAACCACACCATGTTCAAAGCAGGAGGTGATATAACTGGGAAAATATATATTCGACATTTAGCACGGAGAGAAGACCGACATTGTTGAACGCGGGAATGTCAACTCAGTCGGATGGCATGGCTCAGCCTCACAGACGTGATCATTCTACATAACTTGTCTTTATTCACATTAAATATATTATCCTATAATAATAATAATAATATATTTCTGCATGAGCAAGTACACGCCATTTTTGCAGGCATGATCTACAAATTACATTTGTTGGCTCACAGCGTGCTTCCCAACTTATTAGGTTTATAGTTGTTGTAAGGTAGACTCGTGGAAAGCTTGATGTAAACTACAACCTTGAGGAGACGCGTAGGTCAAGTTTGTTCCAGACGTCAGGAGTGCCATAGCCCTCAGAGCAAATTTCTGAAGAAAAAAAGAGAAACAGAAGAGCAGCAAGACACTTGGATATGAAAGCCAAACGTTGCTTAACAGTGTGTAGTAGAACGGACAGAGGTATAGTAAATTAGAATAAATTCATAT